ATGCGAAAATCGACGCTTCTTATCGGTAACGGCCCCTTCGCCCTCGAGGTAATCGACTCCCCGTCTCGACGCGAGTCGGCGAAAAACCGAGGAGGCCTTCGAGTGCTCCAAGTTTAAAATTAGTTCCGACCGTTTAATGAAATTAGTCGGGCAAAAAGGCAGGAAAGTTCGAGTCGACTGCGGGAAGAACCTCGATAATCGATCGGTCAATCTCGGAGCTAATCGAGTTCGAACTTCCAACCCGGTTACGGTCGAGTCGTGCGTAAATATTTTCCGAGTCGCAAACGACCCCCAGGTTTCTTACGTCGTAGGATGTAAGCTCCAGCTGGGATTCCGGGATATCTCGCGAAATCCCGATCACAATCGGCGCGCTTTCGCGTAAAAGACAATAAGGGGGGTGGCAAGACGAACGAGCCCCGCGCGCGGCAGGTTGACCCCGCAATTATCAGTTAGTACGGTAATTGCGGAGGAGCGACGCGACCGTGTTGCGTCGCGGCCACGCCGGGAGAAATATGAGTTATGTCCCTTCGTAACCAATGATTATCGCGGATTACGTCGCGTGCGTCGGCCACCGGCTGCCTCTTATCGCGCGCGGGCGTTCCGTTTTAACGCCGCCGCGAGTATTTTCGGACCCGACTCGACGAACCAGTCGCGACTGCGGAGTCTGGGAAAATTCCCAGCGACCGGACGGATCGGAGCGGATCCGAGCGTATTTATGCAACGCGAGTCCCCGAGAGGAGCGCCTCGGCGAAAATGCATTCAATTACGGGTATCGACACACTTCCGCCGAGGCGATAAGCCCGTCACTCGCGGCCGGGCGGGCAGTCGTTGCGGATTCGTTCCTAACCTAAAAATAAAATCGCCGGGCGAGGAGATACCGCGAGGGTAGACCCTGCCGGGCGGAATGCAGGATGCAGAATGCTGAATGCAGAAGATATACCCCGGAATACAGACGGCGGGCCGCTCGGGTCAGCTGGCAATTAATACGGAGATCAAAGGCTGAAGCGGGTGCTCACCTCGCGGCGGTCCGGACTATATTGACAGCCAATGCTAACGCAGCTAATTATCGAATGCCAATCCCCACCACTAGGCTCGCCGACCAATGCGCGCGGTCGATAGCGCCCCAACGGCCGGAACGGCGGAATGCGGGAAAACGAGTCAGCGGCGGAACGGCGGAACCGTGGAACGGCGGAACCGTGGAACGGCGAACCCGAGGTCACCTCTCGGCCCTCGGAGTTTCCCGAGTAAACGCGAGTCGGGGACACCCGGCGGCCATCTTTCATTTTATTATTTCGCGACTCGAACCCCGCGCTCGATAATTTCCCCTCCGGCTCCCTCGCGAGCCTTCCGGGCTTTTTTCACCGCGGGGAAGTATTTCGTTAAGATCGTGGACCTTGTTCCTCCGTTACCTCTTTTTTTTTACTTAGTCGCCGAGGTGAAGTCGATAATCCTGCGAGCGCTGGGGAGATTAAATGAGTAAACAGCCGTCTTCCATGGGAATGGCTCGAGCGCACGGTTTCGGCCGCGATCGATTCCGCGAGCGGAAAGCGAGACGCTATCTCAGGTGCGAGAGGTTGGCACCTTTAGAAAATTCAAATTTCTTTGGAGACATATTTTGGAACTTTGGAGATTTGAGAGAGGGTGCTAGCTTGCCGAGTACTTGGTAACGGAAATCTGAATTTTTCTTGAAAACCGAGGCCAACCAATATGTATGAACGTAGCACATAATTAGCACACAATGGGGCGCGAAATGTTAAGATATATTATTGTTATTTCGTAAAAGTGGGGGTGCCGGTTTCATGCATCTCGGTATCTCCTTCCTCGCCGGAGCTGCATCGCTAATCGGACTCGAACTCGGCCCGGCGCGAAGCAAAGGGTTCGAACAATGGAGCAATTTAATTGTGTGCCTCTCTTCGATAAAACCGACGTATCCGCTCTTCGTCGAACTCGCGTTATCGCGACCTGGCTACGTTGTGTCTACTCGCCCCCCGATAAACGCGAATCTCGGATCGAGCACGAAATAACCCGACGCGCGTACAACAAAGAGGCATACGATTCCTATGTACTCCACGTTATCGCGAAAAATTCTCCCCAAATTTCTATCCTATACCTTCCCCTTGGATTTAACCTCCACTACCCCTATTTAACATACTTACTTTCAATACCTAGCCATAGTTTGTTTTTTTCCATTTCTCTAAGACATCACCTCACAACGTCTCCTCAAACCCCCGGAGTAGAAAAGCGCGACTTATTAATTCGTATAAAAAATACGTGATAATTACAGTAACTGCGAAAATTCGACGTTTCGTTGCAGCCTTGTCCTCGGACTCGTTAGTAACAGCGAGGCATTTTCCTCATTTTTCCCTTTTTTTTTGGCTCGAAAGCGAGTTCAGCCGAGTTGCGTCCGCGCGCTCGTTTCCTCGATAAACTCGAAGCGTGGGCGACGACGAGGGCGAAATAATATCGCGGTCGCGTGTGTACGAGTCTTTCTCGTCCTCCGACTTGGATTCGAAAACTTTCCTCCTCGCGCTCGCTCGAATCTCAATGAGGACATCGCCGCCGAGACGGTCTTTCCTCCTCTTTTTCCCTCCCCCGGCGTACTCTCTCCTCGACTCGCAGAGGACCGGTACTCGCGACTCGGTGTTACGCTCGGCGGTCTCCTCGCCTCTTCCTATTTTTCCTCTTCTCTCTCCTCTTTTATTTACCTCCTCCGGCGCACTTTCCGCATCTCGGGAGAGGACGGTTCTCGGTTACGGCCAACCTCGGCGGCCTCGTCTTCGAGGTCCTCTTCGTAGGTCGAGACGTCGTCCTCTTCTCCTCTTTACGGCCCGCTCCTTCTCGCCGACTCGTCCTTGCGAGGACGAGTCGGCGAAAGTCCGGGCCGATGTGCCCGGAATGTAAATACTCCTCTTCAGGATATACATGGCAATGACCCGGTGCTAGTCGAGGGAAAGGATTCGCTCGAAGCAAGAGTTTGGATTACGTTCTTCCAGCTAATCGATAATTAAAGTCCTGTAAGGGGTTTTGATATCTCGCGCACGGCTTGTCTCGAGCAATACACTTAGAAGAATAATTCCAAGAAATATTTCTATGAGTAGTACCAAAGAAATATGTTTTCAATTCAAAGAAAAAATATTTCTCTCTAATAAGTTGCCAATTCCGGAGAGACATCGCATCCAAATCATTCGATTTTTTTTTTGAGTCAGATAATTATTCTATCAATTCTTTCAATAACCAAATATTTCTTTGGTACTATTTAAATTTTTTTCAGGGTAGAAATTAGAAATAGTCCTCGGGTGAGGACAAGTTTCCTGGGAAATTCGGTAGTAATTGAAGATTAAATCCACCCCAATTAACATGTTCAGGGGTTTAACTAAGCACGATCTCCGGAAACAATAGGAATCGTCCTCGTAAATGAGTGGAGATTTCGTGGGAAATTCTTGAGTGGTTATTTTAGGAGGTCGCTAATAAAAGGGAGTACTTAATTATTCGAGTAAACGGTCCTTGATATTTCGCGGGTACGGCGAAATAATTCGTTTGCGTTATTCAGTCTTATTTCTAGGGAATAAAGCCCTCTCTTGAGGCCTTTGCGTAAATTCTTCATCGTGCCTGGGACGTTTTATCGATAAAAAATCTCAAATAAACAGGATTAAAGGCGGTACGAATTTCTTCCTTGCATGGAAACGCCGAAGCGCGAGTACAGCCCCGAGACGTTTTCGTTTTCTCGAACGGCGAGCTCTTCGTCTTTCCTTTGATCCTGGGTCACGCCCAAGAGGAGATTCTTTAAGGTTGCAAAACACGTTCTCGGATGAGTATCGAAAGATCTGCCGATAATAAAATCGTGTAATTACTGAACAGAGAGGTGCGCTCCCGCAGGACCTCGGCTCGTTTCACCTTAACCCACAATTTAAGTTAAGGAGTTACGAAGTCGTTCCATGTTTATCCAGCTGAAAACCTATTATAAGTTTAAGGGTCCGACGGGGTCCTGGATGAGGACGTGCGTCGCTCGTCGGCCCTTAATTGGCGTTGGAAAAAAAAAAAGAGGGACAAATCTTAATACATCATCCTTCTCTCGACATACCGTGACATAAATGTCATGAGAAATCCGCCGCGATCGCGAAACCAAATGGATTTCATATTCATCCGACCAAAAGGGTCCTGTAACGTTAAGAGACCGCGCCGCCAGCGAATCGATTGCAATTGAGGCTTAAAAATGAGAGAACAATAAATATTCATTTTGCCCCCCTCCACATGCTTCCGGGGAATTGAATATGCATCATTATAGCGCGACCGAGACGAGGGCCTTGTCGATGGGTGTTATAATGACTCGGTGATAAATATTAATTTTATCTTCCTGCAAACATCCACGGGGGCCATGGGGTATTAAAGCATTCTTCAATTATTTCTCTTGCGCAGATCCGGAAGCGAATCGGACTAGTCGCTGCTCATCTCTTATTTGCAACCCCCGGAAATGGCGGAAATGATTTACTCCACTTTGGGGAATTTCTTTTCCAAGTTATCCCTCAAATTTAACGCCCGCGAAGTTCGGGATTATTTATCCGCGTCAGATTTGCGTCGCGGTTCCTTCGTGGAAGGAACTTTTGCGGGCTCCTCGAGAAAACAGAGTTGTTAAGAGCCCGTAAGAGACGACCGAGTATTCCTCGAGGGGGATGATTGCGAACACGGTTCAACGAACGCGATAATAAACACTGATATCGAGCCTCTTCTAAATCCGGCGAGCATGCGCGAGTCGGGCGAACAGAGCAATTATTATCGCAGAGGTCGGAGTGCAAGCCGGTTCAGTATGCAGGAGATAATTCGACGAGCTGATTTATTCGCCACCCGATCCGTTTATTCCTCAGGGTCGTTCGATTGTCTCCGCGCGGTCACTCGAGGGCGCCATTTTTTTCCAAACGGAGCATTAACCCGCACACATATATATTTTTTTTTGTAATTACAATTCACTCTGTTCTAACGAAATATTCTATTTGACTTTTCAGAATTTGCAGACCATCAGTGAGGACTTCTGTGGTCTCGACGTGAACACGCCTTTGGGAGGACAAGAACCGATCGCCGCAGTTCCGGTCTTGACATCGCCGACACAATTCACTGCCGTCGCGGCGACCTCTACGGGAGACTACACCGTCGTTTTTGTGGGCACCTACGAGGGCTACATTAATAAGGTCGGTTTATGAAAGATTGATCAATAATTTCTGGATGGAAAAGTGTGTATAAGAGCACATCCCTTTAATGCAATAAGCCCTCCGAGCCGCCGCGAAGGATAACTCCTCGTGACGCAGTATGGCGTCCGCGGGATAAGGGCGGATTTTCGGGCTTATTTTTCGTGCTTATTTTTCGTGGGAACGCGGCGCGGTGTCGCCTGAATCAAGCCAGGATTTCGGATTTAAGCCTTGCCCGGCTGGATGCGAGCTCTTTATACAATTGAAAGTATAAGAAGCGAGGTCTTTCAATGGCGCCGGCTCGAAAGACGATCCGTCACCTTTGACACGAGTCGCCTTAAGAATCCCAAAACCTGCGAAATCGATCTTTCTACCACGTGAAAAGTCGAAGACACTCGGACTAAACTTCATGGATAACGACTGAAAACGATTTGTACTTATACCTAACACAAAACATCGCACTTATAAGACCCCTACTATGCGTAGTGCGAGGAAATTTAAATAAAATCGAAGATGCATGTAAAAGTATTCCAGGTGAGATGAAATTTGACATTCCACTGTCGAAAAGGACAATTTGCTTCAGACGCCCAGAAATTAAAATGAAAAATTAACCGCGAATTACGAAATACACTTACAGGGTGCAGAGGTCTGCATACGCATATATGTATTTGGCGCTTAGCTCTATCGTGTCTCTTAGTTATACAAAACGGTGAGGAAAAAAAAAAATTAAAAGCAGCGCGATTTATCACCATTTCTTGTGAGACGAGTCACACTTTTGAGTCAGAGTAAGTACCCTCTGCAACGACTCGTGTTCGACAGGTGCACGTGGCCGATGTGCGATAGGTGTACTACACCTTTAAGGAGATAGAGGCCTCGTCAACCACTCTGACTAACAACACCCGTTTCCGGAAGGCATTGTTCATCGCGATGCGAACGAGATTCGGTCGATTGTCCCGACGTCGTATCGCGCTTCGTTGATTCACGAGGTCTGCCCCCTCTATCTCCTCCTCTGGGATTGTTAAGATTATTAATAAGCGTCAGCGCGTCTTCCCGGTCGGAGTCGTGAAAGAGGCGGGGTAAAAAAAGTCGAGGGAAAAAGTTGACGGCCGGGCCTCCCTGCTAGGCAGAAGTGAAATTTCTATCGAACTTTCTACGGATCGAGATTATCTCCCGATAACGTCAGTGGGTTTTTTCTCCGCCCGTGAACGAGGAGTCGAAGCGACGATAAACCCGAGCCGTCCTAATAGTCTCGTTTAACGGGGGATAAAAGTGGGCATTGAAACCTTTCTCTCTACCCCGTTGAAAAGAAATTTAATAAACCCATGAATCATGTATCAGACGTTTCACTGAGATGCACTTAATCGACGGACTCTATAATTGAACAAATTCAAGGTTTAAGAAACCCCGATAAGGTGTAACGAAATTCAAAACTCGTTGATAATTTTTCAAACCTTCCTATTGATGTCGTCGCGTTCAAATAAAAATCTTAGGGTTACTTGGTGTACAGAAAATGTATAAATGAAATACTTTATTAGAAATACTTTTAGCAGCGTGGGAACGTTCCATTTTATTAGATAATCGTAAGCTGTTTTTCTTAGAAGTTCGTTATTGTAGGAGGTGCCCGGAATTTGACGGTTCTTCTCGAGGGACTTTACCGTATTTCCGGGAGCGAGGGTCGATTTATCCGGGATCACCGGCAGAGATCGATGACCGTATCGAATATCGGTCGACACGCGCGTTCCCTTTTCCCCAAGGCCTTTAATCCTCTTGTGCCATCTCGAAACCGTTGTTCTCCTTGCTCTTTGCTCTTGTTCGTGATAAACCGTCGTTTTGTAATAACGATCGTCCCGTTATTTAAAAAAAAAAAAAAATAAGAAGAAAGAAAAGTAGGTCTTGGACAAGAGATGCACCTCTCGGAGCACTCCGAAAGTCCTAATTCCGCCGCGGCCGGTCTTAATCCGCGCTTAAGAAATGAGAGATCGAAGGAATAATTAAAGACTCTCGTGACGAATGTAAAGCCTTAATCCCGGCCGATCCGTCGGAATAAATCGCGACTCGGTTTCCCCCGACCCAATTTTGTTCAGGCTATCGGTTGCGTTCGATATTCCAGCCGATCGGAAACCATGCTCGATAAGGTCGACTAATTGGCGGCCCTTGAAAAGGACGAGTTTGAGTATAATTTCGCGAAAATCAGGGCGCTCGTCGAGATGGCGAACTCCCATGGAGATTACCCTAAAGATCGGGGCAAAGTTTCGGGACGCGCGGGTTTTCGAAAGCTATACAGATTCCCCTTAGAAATTGATCAAGGTCCTGGAGTTTCTCCGCCGAGGTGAGCTCACCATCCGAGGCGCGCCGGAAGAAAAGTTCCTTAACGAGTTACTTTAACCAGCCGATTTTCGGGAACGCGAGCCTTTACCCGGGATCAAAGAGCGCCGATGCGTTCCTTGATCTCGTGTAAAATCGACGAAGAACGTATCTCGGCACAATTGACCCCTTTGCAGCGAACTCTTGTGCTCCGCGATTTACCGGAGCGAGAGCCGACGTTTCCCTCCTCGAGCTGTCTCAAAAGTATCCGTACACTGTTAAAAAAGAAATATTATAATTGTATATCGTTTTTGTTAGAAGTTTCATTCAGATATGGTATACTAATTTTATAACATATTTTCAAATAAAATGTATAACATATATTATAAATTTAGTACATATGTGTAATGCATTTATAATACACGATATTAATTTGACGACGTCGCGTTATCATCTGGGGATATTGTCCAGGGAAATTACTACACCTGTGTACTGAATCTACACGTTGATACGTTATACAATTTGGATAGGAAGTTTGGATGAAATTAAAAAGAAATGTTTTAACGGTATTTCCTTTTAACGGCGTTCTCGACGCATCTTTTGCTTCCTTTTTTACTTTAATTTTAATCGGACGAGAGATGTTGGTTCCGGTTGGTATAATCTAATACGAGGACACGTTTACGCGGGGAATCGTAATTGGAAGAGTGCGCAAAGAGGTCAATGGCGGCGATCGGTGTATCGCCATCTGAGTGCGCTGTTGACCTCCGGGACACCCTTTGATTTCCTCAGGATTAAAGCGAGTGGGCCGGGCCCGATGTTACGTACAAGTGAACATTAAATTGACAACACGAGTGACGTTTTATATCCTATTAAGGACTTCAAACGTTGCGCTAAATGCACTCCGCTAGCGGAGAGCGTTCCAGCGTCTGATATCAGATATCTCTGATGAACGTCAACAATTGCCCTAGAAATGATTAATGTGGTCAAAGCGAGGCTTTTTTCACCGCGACGGAAAATTTCGCCCGCGAATTCCGCTCGAAATTCGGAAAATGGACCACTCGGAGCCATCTCGCATTCCGCTCTCTCTCTTTCTCTCTCCTGTCACGATCTCTCGTTATTTCGGGGGTAATCCACCGAGACGGAATTCAGATAATAGTGGCACGAGTCTGCCGGGAGTTCTTCTTTTTTTTTTTTTCGAAAGTTCGAGGCCTCGTCATCACCCACGACGCTTTTAGCCGGCCCAAGGAAAAACCGATGACAGAGGCAGGCTCTCGCGACGCGCGTGCAAAATCGCTCTCGTCGCCTCCATTATTAGAGTGTCATGAATCTGTGATTTTGTGGGCTTCGACGTGTCGTCGGGGATTGAAAAAGAGATATCTCCGGGGAGAAAACCTGGCTTATTATTAACGCGGTAACGAGGCCCGCGATTTGTCTATTATTAGCGGCATATATGCTTGGAGAATTTTCGAAATTCGATTAACAAGTACAATCTAATCGCGGATGAAATCTTCCCCCTTTTTCGAGTCAAACGCCGGGACGAAAAAGTCGGGCAATGGGAACGTTATCTGCCGGTGTATCGTTACACTCGACGTATTGAATTATCGCGGCCGATTGAATGGTCATTTCTCTTAGAGCGAACAATGACGCGCAATTCCGCGGCCGAAGTGATTCGTCATCCGGACCGCGGAGTAATCGAATATGACGAGGCCGATCGTGCCGTATCCACGAGGCTCCGCTAATTTTGTAGATGGAGCCTGACCGACCGACCTGATTTCTCCGGATCCCAAGAAGTTCTGACATCCCCGGTCCGCCGGGAAGAAATCCCAAACCCCGGCGCTCGTTTCTTGAGAACTTCGCAGAACGGTCCCATTAACTAAAGTGCCGCGTCGAGGGTTTCCCTTTTTTACGTTTCTTTGCTTCGACGTAACCTCCGATTCGATCTGGCATTTTTTTTTTTCTTCTTTCCTTCTTCGTCGGATTCTAGGAACTTTGAAGGTAAATCCGCGATTTAGGCCCATGGGGCCTCGGCGAGACGAATTAGATCGGATGATTCCTCGAGACGATCGCCATGACGGACTTTTCGTTGGACCGAGGAAGATCCGCGCGGTCTCGGGATGGCCTCGCGGAGGATCGAGATCGGCCGAGAGATCGATTTCTCAGGGGGCAGAACCGACAATCGATCTCGAGGAGGGCCGCGCCTCTAAGCGAAGAGGCGGACGGGATCCGGTTCACCTTCGACGCGGCCAATCAGCTGGGCACTTCCGTTGGACCGGTCCCGCGGAATTGGAACTTCTCGCGGCCGCCATCTTGTTTCCACCACGTCCCTCCAATTTCGAGTCCGGCGCGAGATTTAAAAAAATCTTCCAATTATACAACATTCTTCAAGTTCCATTCAGACCTGGTATACCGATTCGAAATTAAAAAAAAGAAACAAACAAACAAAACAAAATCAAATGATAAAATCATAAATCTACGTTACAGGTATTTACATCAAAGATTATTTTTGAGACATCGAATTCGTCGTTTCAGTGTAACCTTGGGAAGCAAAAGTGCTGGAACTTACGAATTCTTTCACCAGCAAGGGTCCCGCAATTAATTCCCAGGGATTTATTTAATCGGCGGGGTGCGCGGGCTCTCCCTCGCGTTTCTACCGCGTTTTCGTCCGGCGCGTTAACGAGATACGCATCGGCCGGCTCCTT